AAGCCTTTTCTTCACGCCCTTCAGTGTTATGCACCCAAAATACGTGATAATCGACGGGGAAAGGGCCTTTGTTCCAAGCTGTAATGTGAGTTGGGAAAGGTGGTTTGAAGGATGCGTTGAGTTGCAAGGCGATCTTGTACAGACACTGATGGCGTTTCATGGAAGAGTCTGGGGCACGGGGGCGGACCGAAGCTCTTTTATTGAAACAGCCGACGGAAGAGAGAGCGGGCCTTATATATCAGAAGGGGACTCACGGACGGTGGACACAGAAAATAGCGAAACAATGTTTTCTCCCGAGGACGACATATCGGCGATTAAATCACTGAGGATCACCGGCAACGACAATGTACCCACCATACTTTTGCCTTCGTCGCATCATAGGAACCCAAGATTCAGCTTCTTCCCCTTCCTGTCCCGTTCAAATCCACCCATGACGCCTTTGAATGCTGCGCTGCTCACACTCTTCAATAACGCCCGACGTCAAATCATAATCCTGACGCCCAATGTCACTTCATGGCCTGTTTTGAAAGCCCTCTTGGACGCACTCAGCCGCGGAGTTGATGTCCAGATCCGCACCAACAAGGGAATGATGCTCCTCGAGCAGCTAGTCACTGCTGGAACCACCACATCCTGGTGTCTGAGGAAGTTTGTTAGACAATACCAACAACTCAGGGTTAAGAGCAAGTCCTCCGATATTGAAGCGCCGCCAGTACGGCTAGGCCAGCTGGAAATTTTGTATTATAATGCCGTTCCGCGCAGACGAGGGATGGAAGATGAGCCAGTTGTGAGTCATTTCAAGATGACAATGGTAGACCACGAGTACCTCGTGCTAGGATCAGGTAATATGGATAGAGCAAGTTGGTGGACAAGCCAGGAGCTAGGGTTCTTGTTTTATGTACCGGGCGTGGATTGGCACAAACTATGGGACGGGGTTCTCGAAAAGAGGATGGAAGTGTATTATCGATCTCGAGATGATTAACGCCGGGATATCATAGATGCATAGGAATAATACTGTTCAACACTACTTCTTCTCCTCCATCTCTTTGATCTTCTCCAAAACCCGGACGAAGACGCCGGCGTCCTGCCCCCCATTAATCCTATACTTGCCCTGGACAACATAATCCGGCACACCGCTCACACCCTCCAGCCTCGCCCTCACAACAGCATCATCCACCTCCTTGCAACCATCATCACCCTGGACAATCGCCTTGTCAAACTCCTCCCCCGGAATACCCGCCTCCCGTGCGACGGTTCTCAGCGTCTCGTAGTCGGTAATGTCCTGCTCGTTCTCAAAATACGCCGCAAACAGCCCATCCGCCGTCTTCAGCTCGACCTCATTCCCGTGCTTCTTGGCCAACTGCATCAGTCGGTGCGAATCTCTGGTGTTGCCCGTTTTACCACCGAACCTGAAGTTGATGCCGAGCTGGTCCCCGACGGCCGACAGATGCTTTTGCATCATGGCTGTGCGTTCGGCGCCAAACTTGTCCACGTAGAATTGCTGCTTGTCCTTGCTGTGGCCGGGGCCCGAGGGAGAATCAGGCTCCAGCTGGTACGGGGAGTAAGTGACGGTGAAGGAGTCGTTGGCGTTGGGGTGTTTCTGGAGATAGAGCTTTTGCGCCTTTTGTAGCTGGCGGCGACCGACGTAGCACCACGGACAGACGGTGTCTGAAGTGACGGTGATGCGAAAGACGGTCATTTTCTTTCCTTTCTTTGTTGATCTTTTTTTAAAAAAAAAAAAAAAATTAAAAAATTAAAAAAATTTAAAAATGAATACGGGCTTGACAGAGGTAGGTACTTGGTATTTGGTGTTTAGGACTCAAAGGTAGATGCCGAGAACTTTTCCAGACGCAGATATTGCCATGGATTGGAGTATTTATTTATTCTCACAGACAATTCTAATGTTTTAACAACTAGTACCTAGCCTTGGCTGGATATTGGGAGAATTATTAATACATCGCCCCGCCGCCGATATGATGCACAGGTGTGGCGTGCTCGTTCGTTGGTCCCCCAGGGTCCTCGGCTGATGTGGGCAAACCGAGCTGGCGTCAATTTGCCCGTTGTTCTAATATATCAATTGATGCGTAGCCTTGAGCCACTTGGACCGACCGGTTCAACCGGTCTTACAAATCAGCTCTTTTGGCATCCCACTCCTGTTCGGCACGCACTTTGACCGGTCGCACAACCCGCGTGGAATTTTGAGATTTGAATAAACGGAGTTTCAGCGACCGTTTCCGTACTCCGTGCCCATTATGGATTCAAATGTTATGAATACATGTTCATGCCGTGAGGGTTGAGAGATGGAGCCCTTCTCCACAGGAGCCGCACAGGTTGCAACGCCAATGAGATGGAAGAACGTAGAGGAGAATCAGCGGAAAGCCGCGGCGCCCCTGGATTTCAGGTCCGGGATCGCAAAGGAATGCCGAATGGTTCAACACTGGATGTTTGCAAACCTTGATATTCCGCGGGGAAATGGGCAATGTCCGTTTGAAGTTTTGCTTGGGCGAGTTTCGGGGTCCATCAAACAGCAACGACCCGAGTTTTCTTGATACAAAACCATCACCACCATCACTTTGCATCTCGTACGCGTCTCTTTCCCTTGATTATTAGCACAACTGTGACAAAAATGGCCCCAAAACGAGTAACCGCGCCGCAAGTCGACCCGGCGCCGCTGCGTGAGCCCCTCGCTTTTGCGTTCAGCGGGAGAGTTGCGCCGAACCGAATCCTCAAGGGTGCCATGACGGAAAGACTCTCGACTTGGGACCCAAAGGTTCTTGAAAAGCGTGGCATCCCCACCACGGAGCTCATCAATGTATATCGACGTTGGGGTCAGGGCGGGTTTGGCGTCCTGCTGACGGGAAACGTCATGATCGAATATGACCACCTCGAATCGCCCGGATGCGCCATCATCCCGCGGGGCTCTCCGTTCAGCGGCGAGCGCTTCGAAGCCTTCCGGGCCATGGCATCCGTGTCGAAAAAGCACGGCAGTCTAGTCATTGCGCAAGTCAGCCATCCCGGACGACAGGTCTACAGCAGCGTTCAGCAGAACCCCATCTCGGCCAGCGACGTCCAGCTCAACATGAACAGGATGGGTATGTCGTTTGCGAAGCCGAGGGCAATGGAGAAGGAGGATTTCGCGAATGTGATCGAGGGCTTCGCCCATGCGGCCGAGTACCTGCACAGGGCGGGCTACGATGGAATTGAATTGCACGGCGCCCAGTGAGTAATGGCCAGGCAGCAGCAGAAACACAGGCCGTCTAGGACGAGGGAATTGATTTGCTGAACGTACACGCAGCGGCTACTTATTGGCGCAATTTCTCTCGCCGACAACGAATAAGCGCACCGACCAGTACGGCGGCTCGTTGATGAACCGCGCGAGAATCATCTTCGAGATCAACGACGCCATTCGCGCCCGCGTCCCCAAGTCCTTCATTGTCAGCATCAAGCTCAACAGCGTCGAGTTTCAGGATGGCGGCTTTTCCACCCAAGACTGTACGGATCTATGCGCTGCGCTGGAAGAAAGCGGGTTTGACTTTGTAGAATTATCGGGCGGCACCTATGAGGCTGGTGCTTTCTACCACCGCAAAGAGTCGACCAAGAAGCGCGAGGCCTTCTTCCTAGAGTTTGCTGACATCATCGTTCCCGGACTGAACAGGACCAAAGTCTATGTGACTGGGGGCTTTCGCACGACAAGTGGCATGGTCAAGGCCCTTGATACAGTGCATGGCGTTGGGTTGGGCCGTCCGGTTTGCGATGAGTTCGACTTGCCACAGAAGATATTGAACGGAGAGGTTCATGGTGCGATTGAGGTATTGATTGACCAGGCAGATACCACCATGACGAATATGGCCGCGGGTACTCAGTGAGTAGCTTTTTTTTCTGAAGCATGAATGAGTTTTTCTTGCCAATGACAAGCTGACACATTTTTTTCTTTTTTTTGCAGGATTCGTCTGGTGAGTCGGGATTTGCAGCCGTTGGACTTGAGTCGGGAGGATCACATGGAGGTGTTTCTGGAGTCGAGAAAGAAGTGGCTTGAGATGATGGCGAGTAATCAGGACTGGTCCCGGTATGGATTTGTGGATATTTTGGGTTTGCAGGAGAAGGCATATGGGACAGAGTATCCTAGACTATAGACGCAGATGATGAGACGATAGACTGCATCTCTTGAGATGCTCGCGAGCTTACGGAGACACTAGACTCCTCTCGAATTAGATACGCAATAGATACTATAGCCTGGTTGGCTCCTTGCCCATGGAGTGGATACTCCTCAAGTTCGGGAGCATCTCGAGAGATTGACATTAGACATGAAACACCTGAAATTAGCAACAAGCCTTCCTTGTGTGCCTCTGTTACCACAGGACTGACTGATGGCGGTGTGAGCTACCTAAAAGCGCATTGATTTCCTAATGATGAACCGTCGGTAGCCCATTGCCTATTGACTTACTTATTTGTGTATTTCCACTGGATAGCATTTTATGCCATATTATGGTCCATCCCTTGGCTATTATCTGGTCCCCCCCTATCTCCGCACCGCAATGGCGTCCCCGGATCACTATCAAACAAGAAGCCCTTGGCGCACCGGACCCTTGTCATGAATCGCCGCGACTGATCATTTGTCTGATCATGCAGGTGGCTGCTTTCTACCGCTCACCCCGGCCGCCACAACGGGGGTCTTCCGGTGCTTGGACGAACGGCAGCAACCGCCTCCAGCTCCTGAGCCTGCTGGTGGGCTCATCAACAACGCCACGCCACGAAGCTGAAGATTCACGTCTCAATCCCTTCGTACGAACATCCCAGTGCCCCTTGCCCCCTCCCGACGCTTGGCAGTGGAGTTGACTGCGGTCCACAAGCCGAGTTGATGGGCATTAAGGTGCCCATCGTCGCTGGGCCCGGCCGACCCATCCATCGTTTCGCCTTGTGACGACGTCGGACTCCAAAAAAAGCACAGATAATAGCTCAAAACCAGAGGGCACGTTCGTGCAGGACGACGATAGCCTCCCATGATGTGTTTTAACGGCCTCCGCGGGGGCGAGGAAGCCTCGCGCTCGCAGGAGATTGATCGCATCATCCGCAAGGACCAGCTGCGCATGGCCCACGAGACCAAAATCCTGCTGCTGGGTAAGTTTTCTGCGGCACGCGACAGGAGAAACTACTCATTGCGGCTCTTGGTCCCAGAGTCTAACATGGTCCTTTTGCGGAAATAGGAGCCGGAGAGTCCGGAAAGTCCACTATACTCAAGCAAATGAGGATTATATACTCGCGAGGGTTTCAGACGCAGGAGAGGCAATGGTGGCGACGCATCATCTTCCACAACATTATCGAAACCTTTGAGATGATCAGCGATGCTATGAATGACTTTACCATTGAATTTGACAACCCTGACAACGAGGTACGTGCCTGTCTCTACTGCCGCAGCAGCCAAGTGTGCGAGCTAACTTCATCTTGTAGAAATTCATGACCCAAATCTTGACGAGGCAGGAGATAGGACACAAAGAGAGCTTCCCGCAAGCTTATTTCGACTCCATCAAGGCATTATGGCATGACACTGGCGTCAAAGAAGCAATTAAGCAATGTAACGAATACGCCATCCATGACAACCTCGCATAGTATGAGCCCACCCTTCTCGTCAAATCCCGTCTCAGTCTTCTATATGCCCAACTCTAACCATATACCGAGTAGCTTCATTGACAATATGGACCGTCTTTGGACGAATGAGTATATTCCCAATGACTTGGATATTCTCTGTTCAAGATTGAAGACGACGGGCATCACAGAGTGTCAATTCACCATTGCACAGAGGACATATCGAATATTCGACGTTGGCGGCCAGAGATCAGAACGCAAGAAGTGGATTCACTGCTTCGAAGATGTCCACTGTCTGCTGTTCCTGGTTGCCATCAGCGGATATAATCAATGCCTTGTTGAAGACAGACAAGCTGTGAGATAACAACCCCCCCCTTCCGCCTCTCAACAACACTTCGTGAACTGCGGGCAAAGTAGTAACCGCGACTTGCAGAACCAAATGAACGAGGCCCTCATGCTGTGGGAATCCCTCGTAAACTCGCGCTGGTTCAAAAATTCCTCCATCATTCTCTTCCTGAACAAGATGGATTTATTCGTGGAGAAGCTGCCGTCCAACCCGCTCTCCAACTATGGATTCATAGATTACCATGGACCCCCCGGCGATTACAAGCTAGCTAGCAAGTACTTCCTGGACAAGTTTCTGGCACACAGCCGAGACCCCGACAGGGAGATATACGGGCACTTCACCACCGCGACGGACACGAACCTGGTCAAGATCACAATGGACTCGGTGCAGGACATGATTGTGCGGCGAAACCTGAAGCAGCTCATCCTTTGATGGTGTCTGTACATTTTGTTCTTGTTCAACTACCTATGCGGGAACCGTTTCCTTTGTCTCACAGACGGTGCATGTCCCGGAGTCCTGTAAACCGGTCCTCTACGGAGTACTCTAGAGTCCTTTGGTCCAAGTAGCTGACAGTGCCGAAGACAATATCTTCTCCCAGCACGTCAGCTTGGGGTGAAGTGCTGGAGAGGTGCGAGCCACGACTTTGTGTATTCCTTTGTATAACTGCGCGGAAAGGGTGTAAGGCTTAAAAAGGGAGTTGCTAGTACATTGAACCATCTCGACGGCTGACTAGGGTTTGCATTGCATGTGTGAGACATTGTTGTTTTTTTGCTTCTTTTATGTAAGCTTATGCCCATCTACCAATGGGACCAATGTGTTCCTCGTAGCCGACGTGAAACACGATCGCGCCCATCTCAGTCACTTCATTCCTTGTTTGTGGGAGCAAACATGGTCTTGTCTTAGACATGCCAAGTGGGCTGCGAAGGGTGACACACGTGGCCCGGCTCAGAGATATAAATACCGGGCCTTGTTCCTCTCCTTGACCAGACTGCAGCTCAATTGTCACCTGAGTGCTCAAGAATTCTTTGAAACGTGCCGAATCCGCCTGTTGCGCCGAGTTATTAAAATTTAATTTTTTGCAAGCATGCTGGCCAGGATCCTTGTTGCGTACGCCATGGGTCTCGTCGGCCTTGTCGGCGCCTCGTTGAACAACGTGGCCGATGTGGGAGACGAGACTGATGCCGCGACTGGGCGTAAATGCGGCACTATTCTGGGGATACCCTGCCCCGAGGGATACAGGTGCATGAATCCCACGTTTTGTGCCGACTGCGAGGGGAAATGCGTGAAGATCGAGCCCGAAGAGGACGGGTGCGACCCATGACGTACGTTTGGACGGACATTGGGAATATGAGAGGATTTGGAGCAGAGCCAGGGGAGGGTCTGGGAAAAGGTCAAAATGTACAAAATGTGGTGGTTGAGAAAAATTTGATTTCTGTCTTCTTTTATTTTTTTGGGGGGGAGGGGGGAGCATAATCGACCACCATTTCTGTATCAAGGGAGAGATTGCCACGCATTAAGGGAGGAGTATCGGAGATTCGGAGGATCACGCCAAAACTCATCGACCAAAACACCATTTTCTTCGTACAATTATTCTACTCCTGTACAAAGAAAGAAAAGCCTCAAATATGTTGTGAGACAGTTACAAACACAGCCCCAAGCAGTCAGCTCCTCCGTTCTTCGGGTCGCACCCATCCTTGGGCACATCATAGCAGAACTGGCCCTTGGGACAAGCAAATCCAGCAAACCCAGCACACTGACGGGGCTTCTTGGGCATACAGATGCCCGGAATATCACAAGCCAGGCCGCAGCTCTCAGGGAGGCGAGGGTCATCACGACACTCAGTGTCGGCCTCGCAGTCGACGGGGTCAACACGCTTCCCCCCACACGAAGTGTACTTGTTCTTGAACTGGCACGTTCCCTTGCACCGGTTGAGGTCGGTGCAGTCCTTGGAGTCGGGAACACAGCGCTGGTCGTAAGGGCAGGGAGCGATTTTGAGACCGCATGGCTGCTGGGCCGATGCGAGGGTCGTGAGGCCGAGGGCGGCCACGGCGATGATGTATTTGGACAGCATGGCGAGAAAAGAAGAGTCTTGGCTTAAAGTCGTGGTATGAGACAAGAGAAGAATGAGCTTTTTTGGCAAGTGAATGATGTACGTTTGATGCTAAGTGATTTTCTTCATTAAGTCGGGGGGAGAGCGGCCTGCTTTATATATTAGCACCGCCTGTCGTATCGCCATGGCTGAACTAACAAGTTCCTAGACTGACTCTAGTTCTGCGCCGCCCCGTGATCCTGGCAGACCTCGCAAAGCACCGGACAATCATGAGACGTATTTCATCGGATCATGTTTCGTTTTCCCTCTTGCTAACGGTTGTCCTCGGATGTACAACCGTAAGCCGGAGACGGCGGGCCAACGATATGCCTTGGATCAAGCCATTCGCAGAAGCAGTGGTGTGAGAGAACACCGACGGTCCGAAGCATCCCATCTCTTACCTCCGGGACCACGTAATGGCAGGGCGTTGTAGATGGGGATGGCAAACTCGTTATATAGCCCGGCATTGGCTCACACGGCAAACTCATGTTCGATGAACCCAAAGCAGACGTGGCTGCATCGCCACCCGGGCGGCTGGGGCTGATCCAATTGGTGGTTTGCCAAGTTGACAGGCGACAAATAGTCAGCCCAAGGTTCCGGGAAGACAAAGTCTTTATGCTTACTTTTATCATGTCGGCGACTCGGCGTTCTGGAACATGGCATGGTGTTTTTGCAAGTGGATTCTTTTTGAACCGCGCCTGCGCATATAAGCGGCTTCTGCGATTTCGGTGCGAACGATTTTTATCATTGGGCATGTTATCCGTGTGTAAGAAAAACACGACCGGCTTTGACAGGATATTCATGAATTTTCCTTCGGCCTGGATATTGCCAATGCGGCTGTCGTACCCGCCGATTTTGTCCGCGGGGCTGAGATGCCAGAATGACATCGTGAATGATTTGCTCTTGCTCTTGGTCTCACCATGCCCGGATTTATCTTTTGTATAGTTTGGCTCCAAAACAGGAGGAACGTAAATGTATTACGCTGTGGAATTTCTTGCCAGATGTGTGGTTGCACCAGAGATTGTACCAGCATCAAAGGGAACCAACCGCTGTCGTAGAAATTGTCACCATGTTAGCTGGGACACTTGATGTCCCAAAACGGCAAGAGGCAGAATGCCTCCCCCTCTTAAGGCCGCCGGCGAGCATGCTTGAAGCCGCGTCAAACTCGCTGCCCAACTTGTAGCCTCCCTCGCCTGTGTTCTCCTGTATACAACCAGCTGGGTAGTTCTTCAGTCAGCTTTAAAGATGACTAGACGGGTGATTCCCCATTCCGAATCCGCAGAGTCGGTCGACGACGCGCAGCACGTATCCGGGCGCATTTACTCCACGGGTTTTGGCATCGCCGTCCGCACAGGACAACCGCAATCGCAAGACGACGATGCCGAAACAGGGGTGAAGAAGGTATTCTACACAATCGTGATGACAAAGCTGCTCATCCCGGGCGACGGCGAGCCTATCAAGGATGCCGCTCTTGTAGTCAAGAACAAGATTATCGACTGGGTTGGGCGACAGGCCGACCTCCCCAACGAGTACACCGAGAAGCCTCACAAACTGCACAATGTGCCTTATCTGATGCCCGGCCTCTGGGACTGCCATGTGCATTTCGCCGGATCAAATGGCGAGAGGGAGGCAGAAGAGGGCTCGACGGGCCTGAGCTTTCTCGCAGATCACCCTACTACGGCTGGCGCACGTCTTGCAAGAGGCTGTTGGGACGCAATCCAAAGAGGCTACACGTCCATGAGAGACCTTGCAGGCTTTGGATGCGAAATATCTAAGGCAATCGAGGACGGAGTCATTATCGGCCCAAACATTTACAGTGCCGGAGCCTGTCTCAGCCAGTTGGCTGGCCACGGTGATGTTTTTGCCTTGCCGGCCGGAGACGCTCTTCTGAACCTGGGGCTTGCGTCGGTCAAGGCCGGCCAATTCGGAGCCGGTATGAGCTGCTTGGTCGATGGGGTTGATGAATGTCGTCGGGGGGTCAGACTGCAGATTCGCCGCGGAGCAAAGTGCATCAAAGTCATGGCGTCTGGCGGAGTCCTGTCGCGCGACGATAACCCCCTATACGCCCAATTCAGCCGGGAAGAGCTGGACACAATCGTGTCCGAGGCGAAGAGAATGGAGAGGACGGTCGCCGCCCACGTTCACGGGAAGCCGGGCATCCTCCAGGCCGTTGAGGCGGGCGTGACCTCGGTTGAACACGTATCATTCGCTGACCAGGAGTGCATTGATCTAATCAAGGACAGGGGAACCATATTTGTAGGAACCAGGACGATTGTCAACCTGCTTCTCGACAGTAAAGGCGAGGGGATGCCCAAGAAGATGTGGGAAAAGGCCAAGTTGGTTGGAACGCACTCCCTGGAAGGTTATAAGAAGGCCATCAAAGCAGGCTGCACGATTGCGCTTGGGACCGATACCGAGCCCGGATTCAACATGGCTATTGAGCTTCAATATGCTGTCGAGGCCGGCATGTCCAGCTTGGAGGCTATCAAGGCTGCCACTGCCAACGGGCCATTGACTGTTGCTGGGCAGGCTCCTCTGACGGGCCAGCTAAAGGCCGGATATGAGGCTGACATGATTGGTGTTTGTGACAATCCAGTAGAGGATGTGAAAGTGCTGCAGAAGAAGAGCAATATTGGATGGGTATGGAAGGGCGGAAAGCTGTTTAAAGGTCCGGGAATTGGTCCTTGGGGAGAGGAGTTGTGAGAGGCTCAGTCAACAGGCGCAATTTTATAAGATATGGAGCAAGTGAAAGCCCCAAGGACCGCTAGTGAATGAAAAAACAGATGGAATAAACATGGCGTTGTAGTTTCTCAAAATACGTTTTCAAATCGTGGCCATTCATTCATTCCAACACCATAGTAATCCGTGTATTTGGCCGATGAACAAACTAGGCCAGGACCTAGTTAGAGAGAGCTGCTTTGCTTGCCCTTTCCAGCTCTGCCACCAACTCTTGTGCCAATGTCACAATCTGCGCTTCGGCACCAGACTCCTTCCACCGCTGCCTATCATCGTCCGACACCGACTTGTGCTCTCCAACATAGGGCAGCATCCGGCGGGATGTGCTCAACCCCGGGGCCGTGGGCAACACGACTAACTTCAAGGCAGCCAAGATGTCTCGCAGATGAGCCGACGCCCTGGCGCCTTCTCTTCCACCATAGGACACGACGCCGGCGGGTTTACCGTTCCACTCATGGAACAAAAAGTCGAGCGCATTCTTCAACCCGGCCGGCACGCTGCGGTTGTACTCTGGCGTGACAAAGATGAAGGCGTCGTACTTGCGCACCACGGCGGACCACTTCCTCGTGTGCTCGTGCTCGTAATGGGATGTAGGGTCATCCGCGGGCTGCCCGGCCGCCGGGTTGGTCTCGTCGAGAATGGGCAGCCCTTGATCGGCCAAGTCGACGATCTCCAAGGACAAGGTGGGGCAATGGGGGGCAATCATGTCCCTCACGTAGGTTGTGAAGAAGGGACCGAGGCGTACTTTTCGGGTACTGCCCGTGATGAGAGCGACTGTCGTTTTGGAAGCCATATTTCTCGTTTTGCTAAAGGTGTTTGCAGCAAAGCTGGTCTAAGAGTATTGAGGCTTGAGAGAAGACGGGGTAAGTCGATGGTTGCCATCAGTTCCTTTTTGAGCATCTGTGCCGGATTTTAAGGTTTTGGTCAGGGGGAATTTGCGTAAAGTGGCTGGCTGCTAATGGGCCAGGAGCCAAAGCCTCATCCCATTCAACAGTGATTGACGCTTTTACCGCTTGGGCATGCCCTAGGGTGTTAGATGGGAAAAGTTGGACGTTTACACTTGCCACCCTTTGATCCCGGTTTGTCGTGAAATCTAAGCATGCTTGATCCCCTCGAGTGCCCATTTATCGACAGTGTCCACACCACTCTTAAGAGAATCTGAGTTCCCAGGCTCTCCCAAAGAAAGCATTTGTAGCAGTCCATTTTTCTCTAGGTTCTGACAGAATGCCTTTTTTTTTTGGGAAGGAAAATTATCTGCCGAGTGGTTTTGAGCCATGCTAGCGCTGGCTATTGAGCTTTCCGCCGTTGGTCACCTCAGGATGTGGCAGTAGTTGCTGTCGCAGTGGAATGGTGATGGGTGCAACATCGGTCTTGATATAATTGCTTTATTCGAGCAAAGCGACACAGCTAATGACGCAGTTAGTAAGTACAACCGTTAAAGATTGCTAGGGTGGCACCTCGCACATACTCCAGGAGATGCTGTTGCCTGTGGAGAAAAATCACTGTATGTACTACAGAAGGACAGGGTGGATGCCATGACAAAACTTCCTGGGACCTTGACCACGACGTGAGGATCAAACTCAAAGACGAACATGGCTCCTTTCCGGACGCTGTGCGAATCAGGATTCAAAATTGCTCTCAGATATTCATGGCAAGGAAATGCTCCAGGGGAAGAGTTTAAACTTGTTTGCTAAGAAATTGAGTGGGCGAGAAATGAGGAGAAAACGCATAGACGCCATCTCTTGTTGAAAACGAGAAGAATCAATCACTTGGTGAAGTTTGACATAGAAGCGACCAACACCAGGTGAGGGACTGGGGAGGATGACTAAACATTGAAAGAAATTGGCAGGTACGAAACAGCCTGGTGGACTGGTGGTAGACTCGGTGGGCAGCACCACTACCAGACATGCAGTGCCTGGACAGTCAAGCGGCCATGCGGCCATTTGATGCTACTAGTAGAAGTTGCCGACAGTTGAGGCAACTGTCGACATGGAATTGATCCGTTGGCACTTCTCAGTAGTGGTCAACTTCTGAGCTCTAGGATCTAATATTCGCGGCCGTCCCAACATTGAACTCGAGTCGGATCAATGCGACTTTACTCCGTACCTAGGCAGTCGTAATGCCCCCCCCCCCCCCCCCCCGCGGGATCAACCCCCTGCCAAACTACAGCGCTGCCTCCTTGCGTTTCTTGCCAACATTCCGTTCCCAGCTCACCATTAGAGCAACTTGTTGACTCAACGCCACCA